TCTTCCCCCAACTCTCCTCAATACACTCGCTCTTCTCCTCAATACTCTCCCTCTTCCCCACAGTACTCTGACATGGAGTCTACAGGCTCCAATTCTCCATCTCCCTCTCTCTCGTATTCTCCCCTCTCTCCATCTCCCTACTCTCCCCATTCATCCTATGGTTATTGATTTTTTGTTTTTGTATTAAATTAATATTATTTTGTAATTTTTTTTATGGTTAGAAAATTTAATTTTAGTTATATCTTAACAATTTTTTCCTTCTAATCAGTGCCATGATGAATTTTAATAAGACTTATTTCTTTGTTTTCTCTCTGTTGTTCACTTGTAGGGGTATCAGCGTCTCATGGAGGCATACATTTAGGACACCCAACACGCTCGCAGATCTTATGGCAAATGACGGAGCCGACCTCACAAACTATCTTGGACTACCTCTAAGCTAGCTGATGAGCCTTTCTATCATTTTTGTTCACTACTCACATACATGTTGTAAATAGGGTGTTATATAATCCCTTGCGGAGCCAACTCATTGTTGTTACAGTATTGGACTCTTTTTTGGCTTTTTTGTAAAGGATTACCTTAACCGTTAGGGTTCTAGTAGATCCCAATATTTGTAAGGGACGCTAGACCCAACACCTGTGTTTGCTTCTTTTTTTATTCAATGACAGTCAATTTTCTGAAAAAAAAAGAAAAATTAATGTGGTTTGTCTCTACATTTTGCAATCTACTGAAATACAATGTTATGAAATTGAATATAATTGGAATTGTAGACAAGGAAAATTGTCTAGAGCTTTGTTGTTTGTTTCTTACATGACTGTATTCAGCAAAAATGCACCAAGGTTTTCAAGCAAATTATACTTTATCCTTGTTTGATAATTGTATGACCTGCTTGCTGCTTTGGGCATTGTGTTTGTTCCTTTAGCAGTGTGATGTGGTTCATATAATTTGCATCCAGTGGAGCCCATGCCATATATTTGTGGTGACAAAATTGAAATTAAGCTTTTGTTGCGTACTTCATCCTATTTTGAAATCTACAGGCTAGCAAAATTTGTGGGACAATCTTTGTTTTAGACTAATGCTTTATTTATATGTTTCAAGCTATGCAAGAACTCCATTGAAAAAATCAACAGGGTGGTGCAAGAGTTAGAGTTTAGTAGAGAGAGAGAGAGAGAACTCCATTGAAAAAAATCGGTTGGGTGGTGCAAGAGCTAGTGTTCAGAGGTCGAGTCGTGGCATGGTGCTCTCTCAAGCTGTCCCTGCCCTTACTTTCTTCCATGGCAGTTCAAGTGAAGCCCTCCCCTCTCTTGGTTGCAGGTGCAATTTTCTATGCTGATCTCTCTCTCA